GGTAAAGATAATTGTGGCTGAAGTCATAGATGCAAGACGCTCTCACCACTCCCAATACACAGGGACAGGAGAAAGTGGGGCCCAGGGGCTCTCTGCCTCTTGAAGTGGAATAGCGTATGATATAAGACCTCTTCCACACAAACAAAAGGCTTAGGATGCGGGGTGGGGGGAGAGGGAAGGGACTGACTGGCCCAGGACCACAGCCACCTCTGGAGGAGAACAGCTCTGCGGTACAGTACTTCCGGGTCAGTGCCTTCTAGGCGTGGGTATCGCACAAGATTGGTGGGCTGGAACAGGTCTGCATTTAGCCCTAATTCCCGCTGTCTAGAAGACTTGATCTTGACCCCTCGAAGACGCACATCAATCCCGTCATCTGGGGGAAGAAGTCAGAGTGAGATCACTTACAACGCCTGCTACCTCTTTGGTCCCGAGACCTGAGAATGGCTCCTTAATGCTCAGCCTTGTGTCACCCTTAGCCCCTAGAAACTTGGGGCCTTTGGGATCCCCTTCTATCATCTGATTCTGATGATTATATTCTGTGCTAGTTCCTCCATCCACCACTATAATATGGGGATGCCTGAAGGTCCCAATGCCATTCCTCTCTCAGGTGAGACCAAGCACTTCTATGGCTTTAAAGGCAGGCCTATACCCGGCACCGTCCCCTTGGCTTGGGCCCCAAAGCTTCAGATCTTGGCATCAGTTCAGCTGTCACCTTTACCCCAACTCCAAGTCCATCTCCTTCACTCCACACTCACTGCCAGCTAACCCCCATCTACATGCTGGGGCTCCCTCTCCCTCCTTATGGCCTTAAGCCCCACCTCGGCACTCAACGATGCGGATCTCGATGATTGGAAGGTGGACAGTCATGTCCTCCAGGACACAGACATCCCCGATCAGGGTCCTGAGGGGATGAACATGAAGAACTTTGGAAACCCCTTGTCTTCAGGGGTTGCTGGGGTCACAGTCCAACTTATGCCTCCAAGCTGGGCCAGATCCCGCTGCCAGGATCATGTCCCACCTCCCACCCCAGGTCAGTTCACTCACTCGTCAATGCTCACATCACTCAGCTTCTTCAGGTTGTCCCCTTCACCCCCATAGACCACCACCCGCTTAGGCATAAAGTTGTCATCCGTGGTATCCACCGTGAGTAGCAGCTTCCTGAGGGTTAAGAGGGCGCACATGTGTCTTTACGCTCACAGGTACGTGGCTCACCCACCCTGCTGTGCTCAGGGCCCACTCACTTGACAATGGTGCCCTTTTTCATGGTCAGCCGTACCCAGTGCTGGCACTGGGACCCATCGCTCTCCCAGTAGGTGTCTGCGTTGCTGTCTGTCAGGCAGGACACATTGAACTCCTCCTGGGGAGCGTAGAGAGGTGGATGGGCCAGGGAGCACAAGAGAGAAAGCACAGTGGAACTGAGCTGGAAGTCCGTCAGGTAAGGGTGGAGGTGTGGAGGGACTCCAATAGGACTTCCAAGATGGGGGGGCGGACTGAGGCTGGCCTGCGGGGATTCAGGTTCGGCCGTGGCTTAGAGGAAGAGTTCTGAACCTAGCAGGGTGTCGCTACATCTCGCTTGGGGTGGGGGAGTCGCAGCACCCACCGTGTAGGAGGAGACGTCTATACTCTCCACATACTGCTTCACGCTGCCCAGGTTTTCATCCTCCTTGCCCAGGTGGTCGTACAAGAAGTGGATCAGGTCCTCGTCGCACTCGTAGGTCCACGTCGGGGGCACATAGCTAAGCGACCCCAAGTCCCTAATTAGGTCGGGCCCGGACCTGCAGCTCCTTCCTCCCCAGCCCATCCCAGCTTACTCACAGTAGCCTTTGTACAGCTTCAGCGTATGCCTCGGCCGGCTGAGGCCTTGATCCCAGGCGATGCGAGTATGTCAAGTCTACCACCTGTTCCCATCTGTGCGCACAGAACGGGGGACGGGATATGGAGACCTCAGCAGGCGGCAGAAGACCCTGGAGCCTTCTCCAGCGCCCCGGCTCCTCTAAACCGTGCCTCCAGAACCCGTACCCCAGCTCCCTTTAGGTCCCGCCCCCTTTGTTGTCAATCCTATCAGGTCACACCGCCCGGGCTGTGCCAGTCTAGGGCCTGGCAATCGGCCAGCAAGCCCCACTCCTCCCAGCGCAGGACCTGAGCACCGGGCGGTAGTCCACTCCGAAGAGCTGCTGCTGCCGCTGGAGGTGGTCTGGAGTGTCGATGGGTACCAGGCGGGCCCCGCCCTCGGCCGGGCGGCACACCAGGAGCCAGCCTTCGTCCAGCCCGCAGTCGCCCAGGTGTTCCGTCAGCTGCTCCTGCCGGGACGCGCCAGACGAGGACAGCCGTCAGGGAACTGCCGGCGGCCCGCCCTGCCCAGCCCAGGGCGAAGGGCACCAGACGCTAAATCAGCTCGATATGGGGGAGGGAAGGGGACCACCCAGGGGCTTCCCTGCTCCCGGGGTCTTTTGCACCTTGGTCAGCTTCACCCAGAGCCCGTGGCCGTTGCACAGCTCTTCGCCTGTGGTGCGCACGCAGGCGCCGCGCCGCAGCTCGATGCTGTCGCGGGCGGCGCGGAGGGGCCCGGAGCCAGTACCGGGGGCCGGGCCCGTGGCTCCCACACGCAGCCCCAGGCCTTCCGCCTCCCACACTGGCAGCAGCACGCGCGACGGTCCCGCCGGGTCCTTGTAAAGCTTGTAGAGCACCTCGCGCGGCACGAAAGCTAGCGCCGCCGGCAGCGGCCGCCCGGCACGGAGGCTCTTCGCTGCCTCCGCCAGAAAGCGCACGCGGCCCAGCAGCTGCCGCGGGGATTCTAGCGCCGCGCCCGGGCCCGGGCCAGCCATGACGATGTGGCCCAGGGAAGCGGCGCAGAGGAGCTTCGGCCGAACCAGCAGACAGAGCTTCCCACCACCTTCAGCCCCGCCCTCGACCAGCCTTCGCCGTAAGTTCTGGACTAAGCGCACCTCATGTTGCCGCCGTATTGGCCTGTGTACTTGGATACTTAATTCTGTTATCTATTTCTGTGTCTCCCACTCAGTCAGCCAGACCCAAGTTCTGAAGTTTCTACCTGATCAATCTCCCCACTCCATTCCCATTGCTACTACCACTTACCCCCATTGCTACTACTCTCCTTTAAGCCACCATCCATCCTATCGAGCCCCAAACTCTACTCCTTCGACCTTCTGGAGCTTCCCTGCTCCCAGTGAGTCTCACTACAACCAGCTGAATCTTTAAGAATCTATTAGCTATCTTGTCAGGTTTCCCATCCTAGGAGCAGTGTGACTAAAATGTTTGGGAAAATAATCCCTCCCCAGCCTGGCTGCTGACGGGACTCTTGAGTCGTTTAGACTTGTTCCCGGTGGTTACTCCTAACCGCAGGACACTGGTGATCATTATCGTTTCTCCCAGTAATTCTAAATCAAATGAGAGGAAAGGCCAACGTGGGAAGAGAGGAGGCAAAAACAAACAAACAACAAACAAACAAACCATGTACAGAAGTTGTTAGTGATGTACAATCACGGAGGAAAAGGAAACTTAGTCCCTCCCCCACCCTTGTTTATTGAAGTTTACTGAGATGTAACTCATATAAAGTGTACAAATTTCAAGTGTACAAATCACTGCTTTTTTATATATAACATTAATTTTTAATAGTAAAAAATACATATAACAAAATTTGCAATCTTGACCGTTTTTTCTAAGTGTACAGTTATCTATTTCCAAAACTTTTTCATCACCCCAAACAGGAAACTCTGTAATCTTAAGCAATAACTCCTCATTGTCCCCACTGCCTAGTTCCTGGGAACTAATCTACTAAAGCTCTAATCTACTTTCTGCCTCTAAGAATTGGCCTATTCTAGATATTTCATATAAGTGGAACCATACAGTATTTGTCATTTTGTGTCAGTCTTATTTCACTCAGCCTAATATTACAACAATGTTGTTGCATGTATCAGAACTTTATTTTTATGGCTGAATAATGTTCCATTGTATAAATACACTACATTTTGTTTATCCACTCATTTGTTGATGGACACTTGGGTGGAAACTTTGTTTTGATATAGTTATCAAATAAAGGTATCAATAAATAAATAATCCCATGTAATTTTGAGAGTTTTCCATTTTTTTCTCCTTAGTAAGTTGGGAACACAGTGCCTCTCTGCTGATCTCTCCAAGCTCTTTGTATGCTGTCACGCTACTACAAGATAAAGGGAATACGTGCACTTAACAAAGGCCTGCATGAGCAGAACTCTAGATAGTTCCAGACTATTTAAATCCACTAGCTTGATATCCCATTTTCCATTAAGCCAATTGCTCTTTTGCATTTTCTCTTTGCATATGCTGTTCCCTTTGCTTGGAACACCCCATTGCTTTCCCCAATTAAATGGAGTCCTTGCTGTTTGCGTCTAGCTTTTTCCCTTTAAAACATTTACCATTGTGATTGCTGACTTCTATGTTTCCTCATCAGTCTGTAGCTCTTTAAAGAAAGAAAATGCCTCGTTCACCACTGTAACCTCTGCACCTATTATAGTGCCCGCCTCTTTCTAGGTAATATAAATATTATTTCAGTTTCCTGTACAACTTTGTGCTATCACAGTTGTGGCTGGTTGGGCCCGGCATAAAATTATTAGAACTGTGGAGAGTGGGAGTGAAAAGTGAGCCTTGGGCCGAGTTTTCTGGGATTCCCAGGCCGTCAGAGAAGAGCAAACTCCTCATACCATGCCAAGTGTATTTACAACAAAGTTCTTTGGGGAAGTGGGGCGGGGGGGGGGGGGCGGGGGGGGGGTGAATGTGTGTTTGTTGTTGCGCCGCTACAGCAGACTTTACGGTGAAGAGACTAGGGGTGGGGTCCTACCGGCAGAAGCTGGGGCAGCCCAGGAGCAGTAGCGGGAGTCTGATCATGTGACCTTCAACATGGCGACTGCCCTGGCTCATCCCTGGAAGGGGCGGAGCCTGGGCAGAGGGCAGGCTCAGATTCAGTCTATAACGGGGACTGTGCTCGCGTTTACGGACATCTTATCATGGAGGCGAAAGAGTCTAGGTGAGTTCTCTGGGCCACCAAGGAGTGTGGCCATAGGGGCTTCTGACCTGAATCTTTCAGCCTAGGAATCTGTTCCTATACCCTTCTTCCCCAGCCCGGAGAACCCAAGTCGCTGGGATTCCAAATCCTCCAACCATGGATTCCTAAAATATTCATCCCAGGGACTACCTAGCTGGACTGCGTACCCCAGACCTTAATTTAGGAGACGCCCCCTGGACTTTCTAATCCTCAACTAAGATCCGCATTTCGGACTTTCATCTCTGATTCCCCCATGACTATCCCCCCGCCTGGAGATTTTTCAGCCCCAAAACCTTCCAGCCCCGGAACTAGCTCACTGGTACCCTTGTTCCAGAGACACCCCTTCCCCCCACCAATTCTCCTAAGTGAGTTTTCGTTCCCTCAACCCCACTCTCCCAGTCCTTCCAGTGGCTTTGAGCCTGGGGAAACTGGGACTATGCGTAGGGTAAAGGCCCCAGCACCGGCCCTTCTAGTCCTGTACACCACCTGATAGGCAGAGGGCGGAATCGGCGGGGAGGCGCAGCTTGGTAGCTGGTCTGGAGAAGGCAGATAGCCGTGCTGGATGGACCGTATCCGCCTTTAGAACGCGAGCTCTGCCCAACCCCCAGGCTAGTTCACTGAGACCTACCCTTCCCTCCTCCTGATCCCCAGACCTCAGGGTTTTCCGGAGCTTAAGAATGACACCTTCCTTCGAGCAGCCTGGGGAGAAGAAACAGACTACACTCCTGTTTGGTGCATGCGGCAGGCAGGACGCTACTTACCAGGTCAGGGTCAGGGCCTCGGAGTCTAGGTAAAACTCTGGAGAGGGAAAGGTTTTTGAGGGGCAGAGAAGGGCTCTTGGAGGTTCCTCAGGGCTGAGCCCTGCCTTACCTTTTCTGTCTGCAGAGTTTAGGGAAACTCGGGCTGCCCAGGACTTTTTCAGCACCTGTCGCTCCCCAGAAGCCTGCTGTGAACTTACCCTGCAGGTGAGGGGTCAACAAAAGAGGAGGGATTTATGCCCTCCGCAGGCCACCTAGCAATCTGTCTTCTGTTCCCTGTAGCCACTGCGTCGCTTCCCTCTGGATGCTGCCATCATCTTCTCCGACATCCTTGTTGTACCCCAGGTACCTGCTCAGATCTGACTCACAAATGTGTAAAACAGAAAGGACAGTCAAGGCTCAAGAAAAGCAAGAAAAGCACTTATCCTTATGGGACAGAGGGAAAAACAGGCTGGAGGAGACGGAGCTTGGCTGAGTTTTATTCTCCTTTTCCTCCTTCCTGGCATGGGTTGAACAGATCTCGTTCTCCAGGAGTTACAGGTTGGGAACCCAGATGTTTTCTCCCCCACCAGGCACTGGGCATGGAGGTGACCATGGTACCTGGCAAAGGGCCCAGCTTCCCAGAACCATTAAGAGAAGAGCGGGACTTAGAGCGCCTCCGGGATCCAGCAGCAGTGGCCTCTGAGCTGGGCTATGTGTTCCAGGCCATCACTCTCACTCGACAGCAGCTGGCTGGGCGTGTGCCACTGATTGGCTTTGCTGGTGCCCCGGTAATATGGACCAGGGCAGGGACTTGGGCTTGGAGAAGTTACTTTGGCAGGTCTGGGTGAAGACAAGGGAAGAAGTGTCAGTCTGGCTTTTGCCTTTTGCAGTGGACTCTGATGACATATATGGTTGAGGGTGGCGGCTCAAGCACCATGTCTCAGGCCAAGCGCTGGCTTTACCAGAGACCACAAGCCAGTCACCAGCTGCTTCGCATCCTCACTGATGCTCTTGTCCCTTATCTGGTAGGACAAGTGGCTGCTGGTGCCCAGGTAAGACCTGAGGGAGAGACGAATAGCCAGGGCTTAATTTTTAAGGACCAGAAACAATTCAGTTCCTTATACCTGAGAAGCTAGGTATCTTAATGCCAGGCACAAAAGAGGCTTGACCTGCAATAATCTGGCTGGAGCAGCTAAGCCCAGACACTGGGAGGGGGCTTTAGTACTCTGTTCAAAGATACAAGCTAGCACTGGGATCTGGAGAAGGCAAAACTCTTTGACTGGAACTGGATTTATAGGTTTAGGCAATCTCAGGGATGAAGTCACTTGGGGAAAATTGAGGCACATTCTACATGTGGGGCCAGATAATTGCTCTTTGTATGTTATGTATTTCATTTATTTTCACCACCCCGTAATTGTAGGCATTGCAGCTCTTTGAGTCCCATGCAGGGCATCTTGGCCCACAACTCTTCAGTAGGTTTGCACTGCCCTACATCCGTGACGTGTCCAAGCAAGTGAAGGCCGGGCTGCAGGAGGCAGGCCTGGCACCGGTGCCCATGGTAAGGATGGGGATGAGCTGAGTGAAGGTGGGCCCATGGAGCTATCAGGTTAAGTCCTGCATGGAACTAAGTGACCACTAGAGGGCAGCAGAAGTATGACTAAGGTATATTATTAATAGCCAGCAGAGCAAAGCTCTCTGCAGCCTGAGATTTGCCCTTTCCCCCAGATCATCTTTGCCAAGGATGGACATTTTGCCCTGGAGGAGCTGGCCCAGGCTGGCTATGAGGTGGTTGGGCTTGACTGGACAGTGGCTCCCGAGAAAGCCCGGTGAGTGATGGAAGGTGAGGTGGAACAGGGGACAGCTGCAATATGTGCAGTCACCAGAAGAGGGCACTGACTCTGCTTCCAGGGAACGCGTGGGAAAGACGGTGACCCTGCAGGGCAACCTGGACCCCTGCGCCCTGTATGCATCTGAGGTAACAACCAGGTTCTTGTGTGTGTGTCGGTGACTTTGTCTCTGCACTCTCATGGTTCTGGACATGGTTGTGTTTAGTACTATGTGTGTGTTTTCATCATCGGTTTATCCCTCCCTCTACTCCATTCACAACACGGACTCTAGGAAGGCAGGACTTTCTTTTCACTGATTTTGTTTATCTGGCTTTTGTTAGTGCCTGGTCCATACTAGGCATCCGATAAAGTTTTTTCTGAATGACTGAGTAATACTGAGTGCCTCCGTGTATGTGTGTCACTATCATGTACATGGAGGGCAGAGGCTTGCTGGCCCCCCTGCAGCCAGTGCCCTGTTGGTCCCCCCAGGAGGAGATTGGGAAGCTGGTGCAGCAGATGCTGAATGATTTTGGGCCACAGCGCTACATTGCCAACCTGGGCCATGGACTTTACCCCGACATGGACCCGGAACATGTGGGAGCCTTTGTGGATGCTGTGCACAAACACTCTCGCCTGCTTCGACAGAATTGAGCGTGCCCCTTTTCCCTGAAGTACCACTGACACAGATGATTGTTTCCAGGAGAATAAAAGTTCCAGAGTTGAAGTCTTGCATGTGGTTCTGTTTGTGAAAGATCTGTGCCCTCATCCTCTGTTCCTTCTTAGCCTCTTCCTTCCCTGTGCTGCTTCTTGCATCCTCACCCACAAGTCATTAGAGCTCAGATATCAGTGCCTCGGCACTGTCGGACTTCATGTCAGGGCCCTGACACCATCGTGCTCTCAGATTTCCAAGCCCCAGAGCCACATGGGGTTGCATAGATCTTCCTAGGAGTGGGAGCTGTGACATGTGCAGGGAAATGGGGTCCCTACAGCATGTGATAGAGAAAGAAATGGCAACCCACTCCAGTACTCTTGCCTAGAAAACTCTATGGATGGAAGAGCCTGGTGGGCTACAGTCCATGGGGTTGCAAAGAGTTGGACACGACTGAGCGACTTCACTTTCACTTTACAGCATGTGAAGCCAGGGCTTTGTGTCTGGGGAGGAAGGGCATAGAGATCAGAGAGGGACACAGCAATGGTTAGAATATTCAGAAAGGCCTGTTGAGGAAGATGGAGTCTAGGTCAGCAGGAAGAAGCTGAGAGGCCTTCAGCTTTGACCCGAAAAGTTGGGAAGAGGGCATAAAGATTGGCTGAGTTGCTTAGACATGCATCACTGAGCTGAGAAGGCTTCTGACACCCATAGGCTTCTTTTCTGTGCATACCCTCTAATTTTCTCAGTATCTTGATGTTTCTGCTCATCATAATGGTACCTACTTTCTGGGGTCTGGCCCTGACATGCCTGTGAACTCTGCAGAGGGGTCTGGTGTGGTAGGAGACCTTCATTTGTCATTCCACATCTTACTAGAGTGCTAGGAACCCTCTGTGCTATAGGCCTAACCAGCTCCCTGTCCCAGCCAGGGTGATGGAGAATACAGAGAAGGGCCCCATTTATTGAAAGAACACAATTCCTGATTTTAGAAAAATGATCTTTTCTGTGATTTGTGATTTATTCATAGAAAAGCTGTGAGTTCACATACTTCCTAAAAAACGGCAATTGTGATACAGAAATGGGAGTGGTATCTTCTTTTTTTAACCAACCTGTCAGACTGAGAGGTTGTACGGCCCATGATGGAACAGTAAGACTTGAGTAGCCACAAACAGCAAATACAACTTATCGGTCAGTGTGGAGGAAAAAAAAAAGTGATATAGTTTGTCAGAGAAAGGAAACTAAAGCAGACAGGTTCTTAGTTCACACTCTAGCTAGACCACCCCTTCCCTATCACGCCCCACCCCCTACTCAGGAACTAAGACAGGAAACAGTGAACACCAAGACACTGGCATCTAAATGACTCTTCTGAACGCCCGTGCTATCTCCTACAATTCCAGGCTGAGGAGAGGGGGCAGGAAGGTAGCAGGAACATGACGCACTGTGGAGGTCAGCCAGAGCTAACAGAGGGGTTGTCCACCTGGCCTAGAAACTAGTCAGACAGGGAAAGGCCAAATGCATTCCAGCCGCAGCCTCCAAATCAGTGACCCATGGGACTGTAGCAGAAGAGGGCAGAGGAAGCTTGAGGTAGAAAGGCAGGGGAAGAAAGCAGGTGCAGGGGAAGCAGAGAAATGTGGCGCTGAAGGAGCCACTCAGGGCAGAGGGAGCTTAGTGCTCAGGAGCTTGTTGGGTGACAGTGGTGAGTACAGGAGCCACAGAGATGGGGAACATGTTTAGCTGGCGAGAGAGAGGAATGGGGATGAGAGATCTGGCAAAAAGAGAAGGGACACATTCATGCAGATCCTAGAACATGAATTCACAGACAAACCTACATGTGGAAATACCACAGTTACATATACAGAGACAGATATAGACCAAACAGATTTATACATGTGCACTCATGTGTGGCCAGATACACACAGACTAAACATGCATCAGCAAACAGCAACAGACACACAGATATGTACCACAGTATGCTCACATATGTGTGTACCCTCACACAGAAACCCACCATCCAGCACACAGACCTGACACATACACATAAATATATATGTGCACATACAGGCACGCACAGATATACCTACGCACACAGACACACGTATTCAGTCATTCAGGTCTCTACACACACTTAGAGATGAAACCAGATACTCTAACACAATGGTGTCCAGAGCAGATGAACATTATGAGCTCAGTGGCCTCCTGTTCACCTTCACCTGTTTCTCAGGAACTTGTCAGGCTCCTAGAGAGGCTGTGTGAGGCAGGAACAACAGCTTCTGTGGCCTCATGGCTTCGTGAGGTCAAAGTCTTAAGTCCAGACTGGGCCTCCTCACCCATTACTGGGCTATGAATGCCCTTCTGCAGGCTGGGGTTTCTGCATAGACTAGACTTGAGATTTCCTCTTAACTGGCCATTTTTCTCCCTGCCACCCTCAATCTTCCACTGCCAACAGAATATACTCTGCAAGGGAAACCTGAGAAATGGTTGTGAATCTCCTCAGAAAACAAGCCTATCTTCCCACCCACAGCTACTTCAAGTACCCATCAAGTTAGAACCAGAATTATAAATAGTTACAACTTTACAACATAATTGGCAACACACAGACTATAGTATTTACAGTACCATAAACGCTTCTGTTTCTCTGGTTACGCAATCCCTGAGACGGAACAGTGTTCTGTGTTTGCCAAGGGAGAGAGGGGCAATGCCCGGGACACGCAGGATACAAGGGCCTGAGGTGGCATGTTGTGGGTGCTGATCGGTCTGCAGGGCCCTGCTCCTCCAGGAACAGTGGGCTGTTGTGAGAGCCCTGCCCAGGCAGGCATGTTGGCTAGAGCTGGACTCTCCCATGCTTAGCCCTGTGGTCCTCTGGCTTCAGCCACAGGTGCTCAGAGTCCTCTCAGGGTGGCCAAATGCTTGTGTCCGTGGCCTGACCTGATGCTACCTGGGAGCCCAGGCTGCCCTGGCAGCGAGCCGTCTGCTTTCTCAACCGAAGCGCTCTCGCACCAGCAGCATCAGCTTCTTCTTGCCTTTGTAGATCTGTTTGAGGTTGTCGATGAACTGGGCAAACTGCAGGTGGCCATCCTGCGGCAGCAGGAAGGTCTCCCGGGCCTTGCTCAGAAACTCAATGAACTCTCCGTAGTGGCGAGGGCTGATATGCGTCAGGCGCGAGTGTGTGGTGTTGATGTAGGCATTGATGGTGGCATCCAGCAGCTGGCGCAGGGGAGCCTTGTCAGTGGACATGAGCTTTCCTGAGCTGCGGCGGCCTGGGATGCCGGCCAATCCTGGAGCAGTCACGGTGCAGCGCCGAAGGATGTCTGAAAGCACTGTGGCACAGTGCACGCTCTTCACCACCAGGGGGATGAGGGCTGCCAGCTCATTCTTGCCCAGGGAGTGGCTGAGGGCGCAGGCCCAGAGCACATCGTTGATGGCCGGGTGGGTGTCCTGGTTGTAGGCCAGGTTGAGATGGCTCATGGCCAGTGAGGCCAGCTTGAAGGCACGTAGCGGGTAGCCACGGAGCTCCATGTAGCGGGCGATGGTGAACAGCTGTGAGTGAGTCATGCCGCCAGCCGCAGCATCGATGGCGATCTGATAGGCTGCTTCGAAGGCGATGTGGTCCTTCTCACAGAGGGTAAGGGCTGACAGGGCACAGCTCTGCGGATCCTTCATAGCGCACTGCAGCGCCAGGGTGCGAGCACAGCTGGCCAGCTCCTCCCGCTGTGGATAGTCAAGACTGAGGCGCAGGATGGTGGTGTGGGAGACGGCTGTGGCAGCCACAATGCTGGTAGCCTCGGTGGGGGTGAAGAGTGTGTACCAGCTCTGCAAGATGCTCACCAGGGCCTGCACACCTGTCAAGGAGAGCCTGTGCTCAGCCACGAGCCTCCGGGTCCTGATCCAGGTCTGCCCAGATTACCATTTGGGGTGAGAACTTGGCCTGCAGGGACAAACTCTCCCTCCTTCTCAGCAGCCCTGAAATTATCTGTAGTAACCAGGGCTACAGGGGCAACCCCGATGACCAGACCCCATTTGAGGTCTCTTTCCATCCCTTCCTTCCCCCAGGTCAGAGGTTTGAAAGTTTCTGCAGGTGCTGTTAGCCCCTCACAAGGATGGAGCAACAGAGCCTCTGGTTTGCCTGCTCCAAGGCAGGAGTCTCAGATCGGCCCCTGGGTTTTCTAGCTGAAGTGAAGCCTCTCAGGGCAGAGTTTTGTGCTGGGGCTTTGGGCACTAGATGGGGTCTCAAGCCTCCAAGTTGTTTGGGATTTCTCTGAAGCATGGACAGGGACTGGGACTAAAGAACTGGGCCAACTACCTCCCAAGGCTGCACTTGAGTCCTGGTGGCTGAAAATTCATTCTTTCAGAATGTTTTCATCAGAGGATCAGAGTGCTGCTTGCCCTCAGGGTATGGTCCAAGCAATGAGGGCAGAGCTTGGTCAGGCTGAACAGGGCCATCTTCTCCTACCAGCAGCCTCATCCTTCCCTAGGCCATCAATAATAGGAATATGAGAGCGCTCAGGATTTGCTGTCCTGTCTCAAGAGTAGGGCCTAGGAATCCTTTCCCCTGGGGGCACAGGGAGCTGGGAGACTCACCCACTTCTGTAGCACAGGTTACCAACCACCGCACCATCTCCCGGCGCCTCCAGTTGAGGGTTGATAAGGTCATCCTCATCACCTGGGCGAAAAAAAGTAGCATTCCCAGCGGACTAAGCATAACTGCTATAACCTCTCCCTCCTCCTTGCCATTCATTTATGTACATGTATTTATTTGTGCCTTAAACAACCATGTCTCCCCTAAGAAGTACAGATGGGTTTGTTTAATTTCTGCCCTATCCTGCCACCAATCAGATAGAAGGTTTTTCTGATGACCTGTAATGAATAAAGCCCTTATTATACCACACCTTGACTTGGAGGAATGGGAGTGGGTAGGGAGAAGATGGGGACCCTGTGGAGCCTAAGGCTATACTGCTTAACTGGCCTTAACCTCAAAACAGAGCCCAAAATTGAGTCCTGACTTTGTGACTAGTCTAGAAGCTATGTTCTGGGGACACAGAAAGAATCAGACCTGGCCCATGCCCACTCCAGTCCTCATGGGATCTTAACTACCTGTCACTAGGCCAGAAGTCTAAAGTGGGGATGGCCCACTCCTCCTCCATACCTGTAGCCCCAGCTCCAAGGCCACGTTGAGCAGGGTGCCATCTGTACTACTGTCCGTGGGAGTAGCAATCTTGAATGCATCTTGGGCCAGTTTGAAGATGAGGGAGGAAGAATGGATGTGCTTCTGTATTGCTTCCAGGATTGTTCGGAGCCTCAGAGTGTCCCCTACAGGTGCCGAGAGAAGGGGCAGGGACAAGGTGTTCTTTAAAGTGTCTCTGAACAGTCAGCTGATCACAACAGGTGCTGGTTGAACTGGCTGGAGTCAATGCACTGAATGCTTCCAAATGGTCGGGGTGGTCAAGCTTTGTCTCCACTGAAACCACTGGAGGCTCCTTCCTTCCCCAGGCACCCATGCAAATTCACTTCTCTCCACCTTTTCAATGGCCTCGACCCCTTACCCTTTTTTCCCCTCAGGATCTTTAGGGCCCAGAAATAACTTTTTCTAACACCTGAATTTTGAGAGCTACTTATACAGGAGAAGGAAGCTATATTATTGCCAAAAAAGTATGCCAGTCCCACAGTCTGCTTCTCAGTGCAGTTCCCTGGAGCTGGGCTACCACTTCTTATTCAGTAGGCAAGTATGAGTGCACAGAGTTATGGAATACATTGCAGGGATGCCATGAGTGCCATATGACATGAAGGCAGTAGGGTATATGAAAGATTGGTATATCTTCTGAAGGGGTAAAATGTGAAATAAAGATAGAAGAAAAAGTAGGTCTTATGTTTTACAAAGAGGTGCAGTGCTAAGAGTGTACAGGCTTTGGAGTAAAATACATTGGGAAATGAACCTAGTTCAGCCATGTACCAGACCAGTTACTTCATCTATAAAATGGAAACAATAACCTTTTAAGGTTGTGGAGGGAATTATAAACAATTTGTGTACAGGTAATATGTGTGTGCATGCACATATATGAATAGAAAATATGTGGGGATATTTACAACACTGTCTTAGCAGTAGTAGTTATCTTTGGGTGTCAGGATTGAGAGATTACCTTTTTTCCTTCTATCCTCTTTAAAAACAATGAAGACATTTAATATACTTTTTTTTTTTTGGTGGGACCTGAGTTTCTCAACCAGGGATCAAACCCAGGCCCTCGGTGGCGAGAGCAGAGTCCTAACCACTGGACAGCCAGGGAATCCCTGGCTTTATGTTTTTAAAGTGGTTTTAGGTATACAGAAAATTGAGCAGATAAGACAGAGTTCTCACATATCCCTTTCTCTCCCCTTTCAGCTTCCCTTATTACTAACGTCTTACATTGAACGAACATTGATACATTATTATTAACTGAAGTCCATAGTTAACACTAGAGTCCACTGTGTTGTACAATCCTATGGGTTTTGACAAATGCATAGTATCATGGATCTGCCATTACTATGTCATATAGAATAGACTCATTGCTCTAAAAATCTCCTGTGCTCTACCTGTTCATCCCTCTTCTCTTTCCTTCTGAAGCTACTGATCTTTTTACTGCCTCTATAGTGTTAACTTCTCCAGAATGTCACAGATTTGGAATAGTATGTAAGCTTTACAGACTGGCTTCCTTCAGGAAGCAAAATACATTTGTTTCCTTAAATGTCTATTTATGGCTTGGTAGCTCTTTTTTTTTCATTTAGTTTTAGTTGATGTACAATATTATATACATTTCAGGTATACAACATAGTGATTCACAATTTTTAAAGGTTATACTCCATTTATAGTTATTATAAAATACTGGCTATATTCCTACAATATATCCTTGTAGCTTACTTATTTCATACATAGTAGTTTGTACCTCTTAAACTCCTTCCCCCATCTTGACCCTCCTCCCCACCTTACCCACCCCCCGCACTGGTAACAAGTTTGCTCTCATAATCTGTGAGTCTGTTTCTTTTTTTGTTATATTCAATAGTTTGTTGTAGTTTTTAGATTCCACATATAAGTGCTATCATACAATATTTGTCTTTCTCTGACTTAATTTACTTAGCAGAATAGCCTTCGATTCCATCTATGTTGCTGTAAATGGCAAAATTTTCTTCTTTTTTATGACTGAGCAGTATTTGATTATATATTTATACCATCTCTTCTTTACCCATTCATCTGTTGATGGGACACTTAGGTTGGTTCTATTATCTACTGTAAATAATGCTGTCATGAACATTGGGGTACATGTATCTTTTTCAATTAGTGTTTTACATTTTTTGGATATATACCAAGGAGTGGAACTGCTGGGTCATATCACAGTTCTAATTTTCTGAGAAACCTCCAAATCATTTTCCACAGTGGCTGCATCAATTTACATTCCCACCAACAGTGTACAAGGGATCCCTTTTCTCCACGTCCACACCAACAGTTGTTATTTGTGTTCTTTTTAATAACAGTCATTCTGACAGGTGTGAGGTGATATCTCAAAGTGGTTTTTATTTTTTTAAAATTATTTATTTATTTATTTTTGAAGTGGTTTTTAATTTACATTTCTCTGATGATTAATGACATTGAGCATCTTTTCATGTGCCTGTTGACCATCTGTACTTCTTTGGAAAAATGTCTATCCATGTTTTCTGCCCATTTTTAAAATCAGGGTTTTTAATGTTAGTTCACATGAAATGTATATTTTGGATTTAATTCCCTACTCGTCACTCTGTTTGCTAGTATTTCCTCCCATTCAGTAGGTTGTCTTTTCATTTTTGCCGATGATTTTCTTTGCTGTGCAAAAGCTTTTAACTAGGTCCCACTTATTTATTTTTTATTTTCATTTGCTTTAGGATGCAGATTAAAAAACACTGCTATGATTTGTGTTAAAGAGTGTTCTGCCTGTTTTTGAGTTTTATGGTCTCTGGTCTTATATTTAGGTCTTTAATTCATTTTGAGTTTATTTTTGTGTATAGTGTTAGAGAATGTTCTAATTTCGTTCTTTCATGTGTAGCTGTCCAGTTTCCCAGCACCACTTATTGAAGGGCACTTCCTTTCTTTATGTTGGTAAATAATATTCCATTGTATGGACCTACCTCAGTTTGTATATCCATTCACCAGCTGCAGGATATCTTGTTTGCTTCCATTTTTAGGCAATTACAAATAAAGGTGCTATAAACATATGTGTGCTGGTTTTTATGTGGACAGTTGTGTAAGTTTTCAACTTATTTGGGCAAATAACTAGGAACATGATTACTGGATCATATGGCTAGACTATGTGTAGCTTTGTAAAAAACTGACAAACTGTCTTCCAAAGTGGCTGAACCTTTGACATTCCCACCAGGAATGAACAAGTCTCTGCTGCTCAACATCCCCACTAGTGTTTGGTGCTGTCTGGATTTTAGCCATTCTAATAGGTATATAGTGGTATCTAATTTTTGTTTTAATTTGTATTTCCCAAATGACATGTCATGGTGAGTATCTTTTTACACGCTTGTTTGGCATCTATATATCTTATCTGGTAAGGCATCAGTTCAGGTCTTTAGTGCATTTTAAGATTCAGTTGTTTTCTTTATTGTGGAGTTTTAAGAGTTATTTGTATATTTGGGATACAAGTTCTTTATTAGATGCTGTTTTGCAAATATCTTCTCCCAGGCTGTGGCTTGTCTTTTCAATGTTTTCACATAAGTTTTAAGTTTTAATGAAGTCCTACTTACTGATGTTTTTTTCATCGACTGTATCTAATTTTGGTGTTGTATCTAAAAAGCTATTTCTGGGAATTCTCTGGAGGTCCAGTGGTTAGGACTCTGCGTTTCCACTGCAGGCAGCCCAGGTTTGATCCCTGCTCAGGGAACTAAGATTCCACAAGTCACACAGTGTAGTCAAAAAAAGTTACTGTCAAACACAAGGTCATCAAGTCTTTCTCCTGTATTATCTTCTAGAAGTTTTATAATTTTGTGTTTTATATGTATGCCTATGATACATTTTGAATTCATTTTCATGAAAGGTGTAAAGTCAGTGTGTCTATATTCATTTTTTAAAATGTGAATGTGCAGTTCTTCCAATACCATTTGCTGAAAATATTATCCTTTGCTCCTTTGTCAAAGACCAGTTGACTGTATTTGTGTGAGACTATTTCTGAGCTCTCTATTTTGTTCCATGGACCTATTTGCTTATTCTTTTGCCAATAGCACACATTTGATTACTATACCATATACCATACATGGTACATACTGTACATGGTAGTTCTATTTTTAAGGTTTTTGGGAAACATCCATCCTGTTTTCCATAGTTGTTGTACCAATTTACATTCTCACCAACAGTGTATTCCACATCTTTTGTCTTTTTGATAACAGCCATTCTAACAAGTGTGAGGGAATATTTGCAATATTACCTCTTTTCTAACATATGTATTTAATGCCATAAAATTTCCCTCCAAGCACTGCTTTCATAGGATCCTACACTTCTGATTAGTTGAATTTTTTTTAGTTTTAAAATTTCATTTAGTTCAAAATATTAAAAAGTTCCTGAGAGTTCATCTTTGATCCATGTGTGACTTAGAAGTGTGTTTAAACTCCATATTTTTGGGAATTTTCCAGTTATCCTTCTGTTAATAATTTCTAGCTTAATTCCACTGTGATCTGAAAGCACACTTTGTATGATTTCTATTCTTCTAAATTTACTGAGATGTATTTTATGGTTCAGAGTGTGGTCTATCTTGGTGAACATTCCATGTGAGCTTGAAAAGAATGTGTATTCTACTGCAGTTTGATAAAGTATTTTATAAATGTTAATTAGAGTCAGTTAAATAATGGTGCTGTTCAAGTATAACTTACTGATTTTCTGCCTGCTGGATGCATTGATTATTGATAAGAGGTACTGTGAATTCTCTGAATGTAACAGTGGATTTGTCCATTTCTCACTGCAGTTCTATTGGTTTTCCCCTCACATATTTTGATGCTTTGTTGTTAGATGCATATACATTAAAGATTATTATGACTTCTTGGATAACTGACTCCTTTATCACTGTGTAATGCCCCTCTTTATCCCTGACAATTTTCCATTTGCTGAAGTCTTTGTTTAATACAGGCATTCCAGGTTTTTCTTGATATGTGTTAACATGGTATCCCTTTCTCTACCCTTTACTATGTTGTTGTTGAAGGAATCAGACTGTGGTTAAGAAACAGTTTTAAAGATGAAAATAACAAATTAGTTCAACTGGTGCACGTGCTTTCCTGGGAGAATATCTTTTCCAGACTCTTCTTGCTTTCAGTTC